GTCCGATGAGTCACAGTACCAGTTGTTTCGGGCGGATGGTGTGGTTCAGGTGTGGTGCAGATCCCATGAGGCCATGGACCCCAGTTGTCAACAAGGCACCATGCAGGCTGGTGGTGGTTCCATACTGGTGTGGGCTGTGTTCACGTAGCATGAATTGGGTCCACTCATCCACCTAAACATGTCATTGACCAGTGAGTGCTACGTTACACTGCTTGGTGACCATTTGCAGCCCTTCGTGGACTTCATGTACCCCCACAATGATGGGATATTCCAGCAGGACAATGCACCGTGTCATCGGGCCAGAGTTGTCCAGAATTGGTTCAAGGAGCATTCTGGAGAGTACCAACGAATTGTGTGGCCACCACATTCGCCCCACATGAACCCAGTTGAGCATTTATGGGACATGGTGGAGAGGTCCATTTGCACCCAAAATCCTGCACCTACAAATACCAGGGAGCTATCCAGACGACATGGCTCGACATCTCTCCAGAGGTCTTCCGTCCACTTGTGGAATTGTTGCCATGTTGAGTTGCTGCACTTTGCCGCTCTAGAGGGGGTCCTACACGATACTAGGTACCTATCCCATGACTTTCGGCACTTCAGTGTATATAGAAAGCATTTCAAAGGAAGAGAAAGCAAAAGGAAAGATAGTGAATTATGGAAGAAGAAAAGGTTATTGGTGGGTGGTGTTAGGATACAGCAAATAATCATAGCATCCAGTGGATTACATAATGTTGAAGGATACACATCTTAAATCCGTAGTTATCTGAAATGTAAATGAAACATGCAAGCAATGGAAGGCTAGACATAACATCTCCATTATACATACAAGATTGTGAAGATATACAATAGGGAATTATGAATAAAGTAATTAAGACTATGATGCACCCATCTGTTATTTTGGAGGGGAGGCATTATATTCGTATGAGGCTATTCACTGTTATATGATTCTCAAATCAGCAAGAAGCTGAAACTAAGTATTGATTAAATAAATAGTATTAAGGTTTCATTCAGTGACTGATAGTAACAGACTGTCATAAATTGGTTTATTGTAGTGAAACTTATATAATTTGAAGTATCATATAATGGCACAATAATATATACCTTGGTATATGCTTAGAACTCAAACCCATTAAGATGACTGCATATTTATAATTTATTCTGTTTATACCTATCTGAACAAGATTTGCAACTGGCTTTTACTATGTTGAATTTGGTGTTAGCTATTTGTAAATTCATTGACTGGTATGATACAGGCTCGAGGACATTTAGTTGCCGACTTGGACCCATTGGGTATTACGTATGCTGATCTTCATGGTACTTACACTGACCGCAAAGGGGCACCTCCTGAGCAGGTGGTGCGCCATTATATGCTGGGTAAGGTAGCCTGTGGTGATGTGGGTCTTGTGACATGAATAATAATTTCCCTTTTCCTAGCAGGAATCAGCATCTTCACATTTGCTTCCTGTCCTTGTGACTTCAGTTCTTGTCGTGTTTGGATTGCCATTCAAGTGTTCTCACTCACAAGGTCATAATAATATTCTGTGCATGTATTTACTGTCCTTGATGAAAATATTGCTGCAAAATTTAGCATGAACTTAACTGAAAGTAAAATCACTACCAAGCTTATGGCTTTCGTTTAATGGACTGTGGCTCTTTATAGATTTCTTCTCATGTGGTGTCTTTTTACCTTTTAGTATGAATAACTCCCCCATTTGCTCTTTGTATTCAAGAGAAAGTGTGAAATAAAAGAAAGCCAAAAATAATTACTGTGGAAGTTTTTGTAGAATGTGACTTAAATGTCTTTGTTTCTGAACTTCCAGGTTCTCAGTATTTATAATGCTCTGACAAAAGTATGTACTGTTCATAGATTTTCAGTTATTACATCTGTAGTTGTACCTCAAATGAACAGAGTTTTTTTTTGCAGAATGTAATTTATTGGTAAACAGTAAAAAATCAAGATAAGTCTGCCTTCCTCTTCTGTGAAAAACAAAACTTGCTGTTTGTTACATAGTCGTAAATCCCATAGTGCAAAATGTAGCCAGAAATTACACAAGATGACAGTGTAGTATTCTGCTATATTTTTATGATCTTAACTGGCATATATTTACTTTTTGTCCTGTGGATGTACCTGTACTAGCCTGGGTGTGAATAGTTTCATGATGACCATGGAGGAATTTAAGAGGAAGTACTGGGAATGCAGAACGTCTGCTGCAAAATTAGTCCGTTAAATTTGTAGATTTTTCGTTGTATCAGCTGGCCAGTAATATCTGTTGCTGTTAATATTCTTAATTATTATTATTCCAGATCTTTGCTGACAAGTCACCATATGTTAAGTTGTATGTATGTATATAAGAGTACTTTCAGAATGAACACTTTCTGTATATTTATTGCTTCCCCCCAAACAACTTAAACTGGTTTTCCCCCTGTACATAAAAATTAAATTTGGTGCTATATTATGTATTAAATAACATCTAACAGTAAAGTGAAATATCCTCTGCTACACTTATTATACTGAAGTGTGGTGTAAAAGGGTACTAAATTATTATGAGAGCATCAAGATACAGAGTATTTAAATGGCACAGCAGAATGTTAACATAATTGGAGGACTCTGTACTGCCACCAAAAAGGTTTTGCAGCAGTAAAACTCTAATATTATATTGTACCATCCTGTTGTACCTTTCACTTAGTGTTGATTGTTTTATACAGTCTCACGTGCAACACTATATTCTATAAAATTGATTAAAAGTTATTCACTTCAAAAGTTTAAAAGTCCATCACTGCATGTTTTGACCAGTGTGATCATCATCAGATGTTAAAATAATTGGGCAAGGAAACTGCTGTCTTATGTTGTTGCTTATGTTATTAATATATAAATCCTCGTGGGGCACATATATGTTTGGGTTGGTGGGTTGTGTTGCATGTCATGTTCTCAAACCAAGATACATATGCGCATCAAGAGGACTTATATAAACACCTGATGATGACCACATTGGTTGAAACATCTAGTGATGGACTTAGACTTTTAAAGTGAATAGCTTTTAAAAAATTTTAATGAATATAATGTTGCATGTGAGAATGTAAAAACCTAATCGACACTAAGTAAAGCTCTAAGCTTGTGTTTCGGATGTTTGAATCAGAGCCGAGTTATCAGCTATCTAGATTGAAGTTTATTATGATTTCCTAAAGTCTATCTAGCTCTCTGTTGGGGTAGTGTTTTCAGATAGATCATAACCACTTTATGCCAGGGCCATATATGCTCTATTAATGAGCATCATCCCATCTAATGTGACAGAGTATAACCTCTGCAAATGAAATGATGTCAAGAAAGGAATAACAAATGAGCGGAGCCATATGAATGCTTCATTAATTTTATATTTTGAATTCTGCTCTTTTACGTAATAAATCACAAGCTCAGTGTTGATATTTTTTATTGAATTTCTCTTCTACATGACAAAGTTGTGGCATGCAGGTACTGCTGTTATATATATGTTATGGAAATATGGGTTTAATGAATGAACATGTGAATAAAAGATGGAACTGTTTTGCTTTAGAAATTGAGCATTGAATAATAAGAATCAGCTTTTTACTAAAAAATATGTTGTAGTGTATATAGCCTGTTACTAACATATGTTTTGGTGATTGCATGTTTGTATACTATGCATACATTTGAAACAGAGAAGATGGTACAGTGGAATCATCTTACATGATCAGATATTTCAGGATAGAATAAAACATTTTGGGGACTGTATATCTCATCATGTGAGTGACACAAATTGGTGTGAAATAGCTGAGTGATGTCCCCATGGGACAAGAAATATTCCACTGCATAGCTTTGACTAGACTACCATATATATCCAGTTTTGTGTTGTGCACAGTCTCTGGAACAGCATTTGATTTGTACTAAAACCGGTAATTGCCCCCCCCCCCCCAAACAAAAGAAAAGTTCATTGCATCTAGTGACAGTGAAAATGTCAGATCTTGTATTGTATGGGCAGTGTAATAGTTCTGTATAGTGCTATTGTTAAGTAGAAGAGGTGGGGAGAAGGTGACTGGTTTGTGTATGTACTTGGTGATACTCTGATGTGATCTGAATGGCGATTATGATTGTTGGTTCTCCTTAACAGCTGCAATATGACATGTAGGTACTAACAAAGAAAATATTACGGTTGAATTTAAGTGAGAGTCCATTACCATGTACTGGTGTTGTTATACGCTGTGTTTTGCACACAGTGCAGCTGTGAAGCAAACTTGTGCATTAAGGGTCAGTCTTGCTTGACCCTTCTATCTGAGTTTGTGCTTGCAAAAAGAAACAATTTACTTGTTTGCGTAAGTGTTCTTCCAGAAGGTACATAGAACTGAAATTTTAAATATAACTTACAAAAATTAGTTTTATGTGATGTTCATAAGGTTACAGTTGTCTCAGTTTTACTGAAAAGTTATTACATATTGTGTTAACACTTTTCGACTTTTCTTTGAAGAGTTGGCCTGTAGGAATTGGAGTTTTGAACTTGAATTATTATACTTGCCTGATATAATGCACACTATTTTCTTCCAAATTGACTTCATATTAATATAATGTAAATTTGGTTCTGTTAGGTGTCTTTACTAGAAGCTACCATTGTAAATGCTATCCATTGAAATTTGCTGTCATATTTTCAGGAAATATTTGGAAGGAAAGTAATACGCATTATATATAGTGTGGCAGATATAGTAACTTTGAGATTATCTACACAAAACTGTGATACTTATATTGTCTTATTTCTATACCTGAGTTCTTTATGTTGACATGGACCATTTCTGTGCAATCCAGATGTATTCTTGATCCTCTAGGAATCCTGTTAGAATGAACTAACTCACGTCTCTTCATAGTGTTGTCCCGTTTCAGATATTTGTTTCCTCATGTGGCTCACATTGTGACTGACTGTAATAGCTTTAGAAACCTGAAATTGTTTCTCCCTATTACCATGCCTTGGAACCTTCTTACATTGTGTTGTCAGATTCGAGGTCATCACATTGCCAAGCTGGATCCTCTGGGAATTTCAAGTGCAGATTTGGATGACAAACACCCTCCAGAATTGCTCTATAGCCACTATTCCTTTGGTAAGAACTGATACAGCTCAACAAATACTGTGGTGGGTTCTCTCATTTACATGCATATTTATTATAAATTAGCTATTTTGAAGTGTAAATGGTTCAGGATCACAAAAATTTTGTAGGTTATGTTCTCTTATGTCATCTATTGTTTTATCAGGGTATTTAGTGCTAGCATAATTTATCTTCACCTTTATGGAAACCCCTACCATCTTTTCCTTTCCCAGACAGTATTCTTCCATGTTTCTTTTTATAAAACAGTTTTAGTAGTCTTTGTTTATTATTTATATGAGTTTAATGCCAACAAATACATTACATATATGAGTTGCAAAACACAGACGAAGACAGAAGTGCATTAAACATATAAAGTACAGTCGTAGTTGGTTGAGGGGCTATGCCACAAGCTGGAAGGTCGTGGGTTCTAGTCCCAATGAGGTAATTACATTTTTTTCAGTTGACCTAATCCTTCCAGCCACGCTAGGCCCTGGGGTTTACTCAGCCTCTAACAGAAATGAGTACCAGGAATCAAATAGTTTTCCTGGGGAGTAAAGCACGGCCAGCACATAAGGCTGACAACCTCACCGCCATCTTTGAGCCGATTGTCTAGATCAGTGATGGGCAAACTTTTTTAGGAGGGGCCCAAAGAAAAAAGAAAGAACTTTAGGCATGCCAATATAATTTATTAAAAACAATAATGGTAGATTTTACAAAATTCTTGTAATACTAAGCCCTATTAATGATTGAAAGATTATGAAGGAGAATGTGATGAATGAAACTGTGACTGCATTTCCAAAATTTTCTCATAATCTGGTTCGAACTGGGATGCACTGATTCTCAGAAGTGAAGTTAAATGCTCATCTGTCAGTCTGTTTCTAATACAACTCTTTCGAAGTTTCATTGTAGAAAACACCTGTTCACATATATAGGATGAAGCAAACATAGCAGTGACTTTCTGGGCATGAGATATCAGATTTGGGAAACTGGATTTCGACAAGGACTTGTAGAACTCTAATTTTGATACATTGAGAAACAACTGTTTGAGTTGAGTGTTACATTGCAACTCAATTAATTCAAGTTGCAAGTCCGGTTTCACTGTTTCACAGTCTACATTAAAAGGCATACTGAAAACATCCAAGTCTTTTTCAATGGCACTGAAGTCTTGAAATCTTCGTTCAAATTCACCACGGAGTCTTCTCAGGCTATCCTCGTAGCTCCTAAGCTTGTCCTTCATCACTAGGGCTATTGAATTTAACCTCGGGAAGTGAGACAGTCATTCCTAGCTAGCTGATCTGCAAACAGAACAAGTTGTAGTTTAAAACTTCTGATATGGCCCCAGATATCATCAATAAATTGATTTTTTCCTTGCATCTTGACATTCAACTTGTTCAGGTGGCAGAGAAGATCTGTGAAAAATGCAAAGTCCGAAAGCCATGCAGTATCTTCCAGCATTTCACATTCTACAGACCACTGTTTCTCTTGGAAGAATGACACTATTTCGTCTTTCAGCTGCCAAACTCGCTCGAAGACGCGTCCCGCGCTAAGCCACCTTACTTTCGAGTAGTACAGTAAATCAGAGTATTCAGATTGCATGGAGTCAAGAAACTCTCGAAATTGTCTGTGAGTAAGCCCTCGAGATCGAATGGCATTAACAAGCTTCACAACGACATCAAGCACAGGTTTCATATCCAAGGCAGATTTACACAGGGCGTCTTGATGTATGACGCAATGCAGAAATACAACATTGTTCTCGGGATATTCTTGATTAAAGATCCCAACAAATCCAGATTTTGTCCCTGTCATACTTTGTGCTCCATCTGTCGTAATACTGCATATGCTAGTTATAGGTACTTTCAAAGTTGAAAGGCCTTCCAGAAATTCATGAAAAATATCTGACCCTGTTGTAGTTCCCTTTAACGACCGCATGCATGCTAATTCCTCTGTAATAGAGAAGTTTTCGTCAACACCTCTTATAAATAATAGCAACTGTGCAGTATCATTTATATCAGTGCTTTCATCCATAGTAATGGAGCAGAATTTAAATTGACCAATCCTTGATTCCAACTGTGATAATATGTTTTTATCTATGACTTCGATTCTAGAAGTCACTGTTTTTCGAGATAAGCTTACAGTTTCAAAATCCTTTGTCTTGTCAGGACATAAAATATCACAAACTTTGAGCATGCAGTGTTTAACGAACTCCCCATCAGAGAGAGCTTTGTTACCTTTAGCAATATTTNCTTAAGAGCTGTGAAAAAGTACTTCCAAGTCCATTCATCTTTGAAAACACGGCACTCTGAATCAACTTTACGTTTTTAGTTGACATCTTAGGGCTGAAATGTTTCACGAATGTGCACAGCAAAACTAGCAAACACCTACAACAATAGTGGGACCGGGTCTGAATAAAAGACTGTGGTGTTAGTAGCCAGCTGCAGTGGATGTAATGTGGAGGGGGTACAGCGAGGAGGCTCCGTTGCCAGTTTTACTCTTCGCTACAAAAATGCCAGCAGCCAGTGCCTCACTCTCAAATGTTAACATAGCATTCCAATGCCATAGTGGATAAGTAAATAAATTAATCTGTGGTCACTAGGCTAAACATAAAAGGGAGGAAAGAAGAAGAAAATAATCCAGAATTATTTATTTTCCTTAATTCTTCTTCTTTTCATTCGTCAGATTAGGAATCATTTCACGGGCCAGATAGAACCTATCAAGGGGCTGCGTCTGGCCCGCGGGCCGTAGTTTGCCCACCACTGGTCTAGATAGTGTGGGACCTTCAACGTCTCACAACCCTATGGGCCTTCACGGCCTGGTACAGGGATAGCTTTACTTTTTTTATTAAATACTCTTATTAATGTTGAAAAATTCATTCTGGTCCAAATCCTTCAGTACACCTTACAGGTTAGCAATGATATGTGTGTGTGATTGTGTTGCCAATTTGTGAGTCAACAAGGAAAGCAATTTAATTATTTATATACATATATAAATTAATCATAATTGATTTTAAATCTGTACACACACACACACACTTAGCCTGCTTAATACTGTTAATGTATTCACAAACTCTATTTCAACAGCTGGGAACATTCAGAATACGAAGGTGCATCTGGAAACTGTTTGTACAAGTATTCTGATACAGATTACACTTTTCAGTCTTGTTATATTTGACAAAGTCCAGTCAGTGGTTATCTAGCCCCTGAGAGTGCTGAATGGCTGATAAATGGAATGCTGTTACACTTTCTGCTGATTGAAGCCTCCTGCTGTCTTGCAAATTGTCAGAATGTGCACATATCTTGCATTCCTTTTGTTTCATTCATGTAATATTTGTGTAATGATTTTAAATTCTAATATATATGTGGAGAGTTTGTATGTTTAAAATCACAGTCAAGATTAATTATACATATGTGCTCAGTGCCTATAAGGCAGAATTATGCTTCATGCATGGCATGCAATTTAATTTTGTATACTCAAAATATGTATATAGAATTTAAACATTTGTAAAACAGTACCAGAAAAGTGCTATAAAAATTGTGCATATTAGATATCATGTGAGATAAAAGACCTTTTTGACTTTCATCCAGTGTAATTTCATACTTGTGAAATTAGCTAACATAGCCCATACAAGCAAATATTCTTCAACTACCAGAGTACATCAAAGAGTTAAAAGTACTCATGGCTCTTTCAAATACCAAGCAAGTTGGCCCTAGTGTGCAACACTTCTGACTTGTGTTTGTGAGATGCCCAGTTTGAATCTTGGCCGGGACACCAATTAACGTAATTTTTTCATGGTTTTCCCGAAACCCTCCAGGTGAATGTCAGGATAATACCTTAAATTAGGCCATGACCGCTTCCTTCAATATCCTATCCAATTCTTTTTCTTCTGTCATTCAATCAGTGGAAAATATATAGTCTTAAGTTATTCACGCCATCATTAAACAAATTGCAGATATTTAAGAAATGAACATCAAACTTCTCTCGTCTCCAATTCTTTTTAATGTGTATTTTTTCATTTAGCGTTGTGTCATCTATCTCTAGCACTACAGGATGGGACGATTTAATTCCCTAAATGGACCTGTGAAAGCAAAATTTGTTTACCTGTGTAAGCAGCTGTTGTCGCCTTCTAAAGACTCTCCTTGTGAAGCTGTGCACTTTGTGAGATGATGGTGCCGCTGCTGGAAACAGTCTTAAAAATCGTTTTCCGGAATACCTCGTGGTAACGTCACATTGCATTGGATGTCAGGAATGTCAGCAAATCTTTGTAACTTCAGGGCATTTTTTAGTTTTGGAAACAACCAAAAATTGCAAGGGGCTAAGTCAGATGAATAAGGTGGATGGTTCATTTTCGTAATGGGTTTCTTATCCAGGAACTTGCAAACTCTTAATGCATCATGCACAAGGGCATTGTGATGGTTTATAATCCAATTTTCAGGCCACAGTTTGGGTCTTTTCCCCCGAACAGATGCCCATAACCTTGTCAGCACTTCCAAATAATACTGTTGATTCACCATTTGTCCTTGTGCAGTGAATTCATAGTGAACTATCCCCTTGTGATTGAAGAAACACACAAGCATGGTCTTGAACTATGAGTGAGACATGCATGCTTTTTCAGCTGAGGTGCATACTTTGTTCTCCACTGCATGCTTTGACATTTTGTTTCCAGGTCGTATTGAAAACGCCTCATTTCATTACCAGTAATGACCCTATCAGACATCTGCATTGTGTAAAAGATCGGATGAAATGTGAAGCCGACGTTCTTTCTGGTCATCTGTTAAGATTCGAGGCATCATCTTTGCAGAAAATTTTATCATTCCCAAATCCTCCATAATAACCTGTCCCACTGTTTCCTTCTGTTCAATTTTTCAGCTATTAGTCTCGCACCTAATCTTCAATCTGAGTGCACCAAGGCTCATACTTTGTCCACATTTGCATCTGTCCTTTGCGTTTTTGGCTGCCCACTTCTTGGGTCATCTTGCACATCTTCTCGCCCTTCCTTGAACTGCCTATGCCATTCAAAA